GGAAAGTCTTTATTCCTCAATATTGATGTCAGCATCAACCCCCCCCAAAAAATTGGTTGGTGATAACTGCTCCATTTCTCTCCAAGGGGTCTTTTCTGAACTGTTTTGATGTTTCAGATGTTCACATCTCATGGCCCCACCGTTGTCATGCCGACATGGTTCTGCTCAAGGAACTGGTTCCTGAAGGTCGGACCATTTGACGAGGGAGGCAAGGTGAGAGTTAACGCCAAAACTGTTTCCAAAGTGCTCTCTCTCTCTGGCTACATCCATACAACTATGTTTTAGTTTAAAAACATTTTCAAAATAACACAATCTCTATCAACACAAGTGTTTTGCCTCCGAATCAGTTTGAAATTGTGATTTGTGGGCTATACAAATCAGAATTGATTGATTGATTGATAATGCATATTGTTCTTCTGGAAGGGGATCATGTCATAGGAACCTGACGAATCAGCAAAGGCTACATTGTGACTGAAAAGAACCAAATTAGCAAGTGGTCGCAAGTGTTTGCCCTGGGGTCTTCAAATTAAAATGGGATCGGCAGCGTTTCCAAACTTCTCTGCTTTAGATGCTCTGAAACTCCAGAGTAGTGTGTCGTAGTTAACTCCCACCCAGACCGCTAGGAACCTGGGTGTGACACTCGACAGTCAACTCTCCCTTACTGCCAACGTTGCTGCAACAACCCGCTCGTGTAGTTACATGTTGCACAACATCAGGACAATACGTCCCCTTCTCACACAGAACTTTCTCAGGCTCTTGTCCTCTCACGCCTAGACTATTGCAATTCCCTCCTGGCTGGACTTTCTGCTAGTGCTATCCGAGCCATGCAGCTCATCCAGAATGCAGCAGCTTGACAGGTCTTCAACCTACCTAACTTTACTCACACTACACTGCTCTTCCACTCTTCCGCTTCCTTCACTGATTACCAGTGGCTGCCCGCATCCGCTTCAAGACACTTATACTTGCATACCATGCTGGGGATGGATCGGGTCCAGTCTACATCCAGGACATGGTCAAACCTTACACCTCAGCCCGTCCACTCAGCTCTGCATCTGCCAATCAGACAGCAGAAAGTCTACACATCTTCTGCTGCAGACTAAAGACAAAACTCTTCCGACTACACCTTGGTTAAGAATATGATATCTAATAAGCCACTGTCAACTCTGGTGTTTATATTAAAAAATAAGATCAAGTGAAATGTTAGACTTATATGTTTTTTTGGAAGCAAATTGTACTTACATGATTCTTGCTGTTCTGGGCTTGTTCCCTCATGGTTGATGCACTTATTGTAAGTCACTTTGGATAAAAGCGACAGCTAAATGATATGTAATGTCATGTAGTGTAATGTAGTAAGGGTGAAGCCTCTGTGTAGGTTTTTCTGATCTCACTTGAGATAACATCCCTCTGTTGTCAGTTTTCATTATCGGTCCATGTTAAATTTACATATTTGAAAGGTTAGACTGGATTCATACCTCTGATTCGCTGCCCACAGCTCAGATTTATTCAGTGGTTTAAAGTCTCTACTTCCTCCTCTCCAGGGAGTCCCAGAGGATCTGCTCTTCTTCTACCAGAGTCTTCGTCAGGGAGGGGATCTGTTCAGGGTCAACCAGTGCCTGCTGGTGTACCGTTACCACGAGAAAGCCGCCACACACTCAGTAACAGAGTCAGTCTCACCGCACACCCCTCATCCCCACTCAGCTGCACTCATACATATACATACACATATTTGGATGGCGTGTTAATCTTCCACATTCTCTCAGCTGCTCGCTTCCATTCCCTCATTTTCTGATACTGTAACACATGCACGTATACATGTTTTCATTTTCTATAAAAATGTTTTGGGAAATTTTCATAATGTTTTCTTTTTTGTTCAGTATCTCTCAGATGCAATTGGAAGGAAATCTGAACTTGTTGTTAACAGATGTGTTTTAAATGGTGTGTGTGTGTGTGTGTGTGTGTGTGTGTGTGTGTGTGTGTGTGTGTGTGTGTGTGTGAGTAAGGTCTTCATTAGTACCATGACCTCTCCCTTTTTGCAAGCCTCGTTNGTGTGTGTGTGTGTGTGTGTGTGTGTGTGTGTGTGTGTGTGTGTGTGTGTGTGTCTGTGTGTGTGTTTCTACTTCAAAATGTAAATCACACCAAAGAAGAAGGTCTTTCCTGCCCCCCGACACCTCGCTCCCTTTCATCCCCTCTTTCCTGTTATCCCTCCTTCCTTTCCTCTTTCCTTCCTTCCTCCTCTTCGTCTGTCCACCGCTCATATATCTGCCTGCGTTGACGCACTCCTTCAGCGATCATCCTCCTCTGTCTTCATCTATCATCTGTCTATTTTCGTAGGCCTATTTCAAGCTCGCCTTGCCCACTTTCCACTCTCCCCCACTTGTTGTCACCCCTTCCTATCCACAGCCTACCCATTTCCGCTCTTTGGCTGTATGATTCTTTTCTGTCACACACACACACACACTCACAAAAGCGTGCGCATGTCTATCTATACTTATAATGGTCAATTTTGGTTCAGTACAATCATTGTGAGGACATTTTGGCTGATCCTCACAATTCCAATGGGCTGTTTGAGGGTTAAGTTGTGATGGTCAGGGTAAGGGGCTGGTGAATGTATTATGTCAAGGAATGTCTTCACAACTATAGAGAGACGTGCATGTATGTACACACACACACACARACACACACACACACACACACACACACACACACACACACACACACACACACACACACACCTAGCTAAAAGAGTCTAACCCAACAGTCATGTAATAAATCCTCCTTTCATGAAGTTTGTTATTTCAGTTTTAGCTTTATAGCCTACACTCATTGATTTGAATGGGTGGACAAAATAATAGGAACACCTGTCAACACAACACAATATATCTCAACATCTGATTGTAGAATTGAATTAATGAGGGATGTCTCTGTGTCATCTGATTTTTATCAAAGTTAACGCCCTCACCGGATTCATAGTGGACTGTGGAAAATCTGTTTATAGACAAACTTTGTAAAGCACATTATTGGTCAGTTGTCCCTCTTGATTGATTGCCTTGGCCTCGAGAGCGTAACCCAAGGCTTATTCTGGTTGTTCTTCTGGAAGAGAGTCATGTGATAGGAGCATGATGAATTAGCGAAGGCTACATAGTGACTGAATAGACCCAAATTAAGAAGCGGTTGTGAGTGTCTTCGTCATCATTTCCAAACTTCTTGAGCCAGTCTCGACTAAAAGTTTTCAAAATAAAGCAGGGCCAGCAGCGTTTGCAATCTTCCATTTTAGTAGCTGTGAAACCCCGGAGTCGTTCGGACACTGGGCTGTAGCAGAGTTCATGCATTTTCAGATAAAAAAGTGCTAATGTGGATGTAGCATAATGCCCACTCCATGTGATTTTTGAGGGAAAAGTCCTCCACTTCTGTAGAGTCCTCTTTAGCAAAGGTGCCTTATGATTCTGTGTCGCTCTCTGTTTTTTATGGCCTACAAATTTTGCTCTCACAGCCGGCTCCACCTCTGTCACCCCCTCAGGCCCCTGCCCAGTTTTTAGCACTTTTCAAAATCATCAGTGCCTGGAGTGAGGCTCAGAGCTGGATAAAGTTACACTTTACACAGTACCAATAAAAACTGAACAATGCTTCCCTCATGAATGGAGGATTTATTGCAGAGCAGTTATATCAGACTGCTTTGGTTTGAGCTGTTCCTAATAAACTGACAACTGAGTGTTGAGAAAGTTAAGATGGTGTCACAGAGAATATGAGACGAGGAGCCTCTCAACATGGAAAGTCTGTGTTTATAAATGTGGGTGTGCCTGCATGAGTGTGTATATGTTTGTGCACCCGCTGTGTATGTGAATCTATACCAGCGTGTGTGAAAGTGTGTTTGTCTTTTGATCCGCAGGATATTAAATGGATGAAAGGTTCAGTGTGTGTATGCAGATACAGTTTATAGCAAATCTCTGCCATGTTGCTGCCATGTCTTTGAATGAAAGTCTGTATAGAGAATGTATTAGAAGTAAATCTAGAGACCACCCGTGCTGCAGGATGGTGGTGGGTTTGGGTTTGTTTGAGGCCCACGTTTAGACACAATCAGATGTCTACATCAGGAGGTGAGAGTGCTCAGTATCAGTGCATGCCTCTGTGAGAGACAGAGAGGGGGAAGGAAGTGGTTACTGTACACACACTGAGCACTTTATTAGGTTCATCATGCTACATAATTCTAATGCTGGGCAATAAAACAAGGAATCATTACAATATAATGCTCAGCAGTCCAAATATCAATATATGGATTTTGCATTGTGTAAACTGATCGACCTCTGAATTAAATTAATTAATAAATTAATAAATTAACAAATAATTGTCAGGGTTTGTGGGGAGTGGGTTAAGGGTGAGGGTTGGGTGAGGAAGGTTTGGGACTGGGAGGTGGTTAAAGGCTAGTTATATTTTCATATAAAATAAAAGCTTTTTCATGCTAAATTGAGCAAATAATCTTGACTCAGATCTGTAGGATACATCCTCTGATCCTCTCCCCCTCCGTTTCCAGGGAAACCATTTGGAAGCTGCGAGTGGACTTCCTGCAGGAGAGAGTTCTCAGCCAATGGAACAGCTTCACCATATGGAACGCTGGGAAACAGGGCCGAAAGCTGTACCGATGCCTGAGTCCGGCTAATCGGAAGAAAGTATGTTACGTTCATCTGTGATACGTTGACCAAATTTTTTTTTACCAGTGTTTTTGGTCTTCCAGTGAAAATAACTGGTTGAAGAAGTTTTAGTATGTGAACATGTTCCAGCACTCATCACCTCTCTGATCCATTTATCAGGTCAAAGCTTTCTGTGATGTGGACGAGAACAAGATCCAGAAAGGGTTTTACACATACGAAGAATCCAAGGTGAGGTCCACAACACATGAGTACTTAAAGGTCCAGTGTGTAAGATTTAGGTGAAAGGGAACTATTGGCAGATATTTAATGTAGAATAATCCTCATGATGTTTTCACAAGTTATTTTCATCTAAATTGTACGAATTGTAGTTGTGTTTACCCCAGAAAAGGCCCTTTATATTTAAATACTTTATATTTACATTGAGGGGGTCCTCATTAGTCGAGACTGGACAAACTAAACACCTTTGGAGTTTTTGTGACAATTAAAGTCTACCACAGGTTCTTTTTCATGTTTGGAAGGAGAGGGTGAGGTGAGGGGTGTTCAGCTGCAACATGCAACTTCAACACCAGATATCACAAAATTCTACACACTGTACCTTTAAGTGTAATATGTTAATTATGGTTATAGAAATGCAAGGTCATCAAGCCAATGATAATTGTAATAAAGCAACTTTCCGATGATATCCTCCCAGGAAATACCGAAGCCAAAAATCCCAATTGTGCACTACCAAGCTGCCTCCGGCCCCTTCATCGTCTGTGTTAAACTGGTGAGCAGTTGTGTGTTGTATGTTTGTTGTTTCTGACCCTCTGTCCCTCAGGTCTGTAATCTAAGTTAATGACATAATAATGAAGGGCGTGTGCCCGGCACAGGACATAACACACACACACACACACACACACACACACACACACAGAGGATGAGGAAGTCAGGAAATGGGTCGAGACAGCAGCCTGATCTTTGATCACGAGGTGCTTGCACAAACATCTGATGTTTTTGTCACAGTTCAGTTTACATGTATCATGTTTTGTTATACATTTTGTTGTCTAAAATCCTGACTCTACTTAAAACTATTGTAGAGCCCTTTTCCATAGATATAGATATTTTCTAGTTTAATCATTTTTCATTCATATACAGTAACACACACACACACACACACACACACACACACACACATAGCAATTCAGTGAGCCAAATCTCTAATTGCCTATTTATCACTCAGCAAGATTCAGACATGAAATCTAGAGTGACCCCACCTACGGGGGCTACTAATTGCTCAATTATGGGAACTGGGAAAAGTAATCAGAGGACAAGGAGACCTGGACTCTATCATGCTCCCTCTCTCTCTTTCTCTATGAAACACACCCACACATACACGCTAACACCTGGACTCAATCACACACGTTTTAAATCCAGATGTCATATAACTATAATCAACACATATATTCATTTGAACTGTTCTCATAGGCCGAGGTTGAGCCTGGTTTACTGTGGGTCAGTCTGGATGTCTTTAGTCTGTATATAACCTTTGGCTTCAGATCAGAGCAGTTCAAATAAAATACACAGCGGAGGACCATGAAAATAAGTTTAGTCAACAGGGCAAATCATAATGCTTCTAATGTTTTCAGCAGCATATGTGCCTTCCATCGTGTTTTCTCTTCCTGTTGATTCTCACATGTTGTTTTATCTGCAGGACATGACGGGAGGTGTGTTGGAGGAGAACCTTAACTCTCTGCAGCTGAAGGAAGGAACAGATTATTACCACTTCAACTGACGATGGAGAAGACAAGAGGAAAGCAGAGACTTGGATTAATTCCAACACACACACAAACAGAGAGACAGGGAGGTAATAACACAGTGAACAGAGATACTCCGTCTTTCTTACACCTGAAACACAGCACAGTTACGCAGAGAACCTTTAGGGAAGAGTTTGACATTTTGAGGTAATTGCTCACTCTTACTGAGTTAGATGATTGAAGATTGATGCCACTCTCATATCTGACTCATTAAATCTGAAGCTATGGCCAAGACAAGCTCCGCTCAAAGACTGGAAAGCTAGACTGGCTCTCTCCACCTCTGAAGCTCACCACATAATATATTGTACCCTTTTGTAATTATTTACAAATGCATCAATTTACATTTTAGTAAAGTTATACAATATGCCCAACTTGTGGGTCTCCACTCATCATCACCAATATCTGTAAAAACGTTTTCATTTGAGGGGAAAATTGAAAAGTCGCAAAAACAGAAAACAGTGGGAAAGAGACAAATTGTGTCATATTTGAATCATGTGACCCACCGAAGCTGTAAAAAATTAGCCATTAGACCCGTGTGAACAGATAACACAGACTGTAACACATTATACATGAATCAAAAGGAAACATTTTTACTTCATGTTTTCTAAATCATTTTTTTCTCAATACAGCAGCCCCTAAGTAGTGGCTGTAAATACACATTTAGTTGCATTTTCATAAAATTTCCTCATGATTTATTTAAAATATCGGCCTCATTCAGATGGAGCTGAATTATGTCTTCTTTTGGTTCTTGTGTGATCAACGCTTATTCAAAAAATGTTGAACTATTGCTTTTAAAGCTTGAAAATGTGTGTTACAGGTGAAAGAAGTAAGCATAACTTGAAGTGGAGATACTGAGTGATGTTTCGATAATTGATTTACTTAAGAGCAAATGTATGGAAGTCTATATTTTACTTATCAGAGGACAGATATTTATTGAGGATTAACGGTGTTGACCACTGGAAGAATAAACTTTTTTATATGTTTTTTACTCCTGTGTGGACTTGGGGTTTTTTATTTTCCTGCTTCAAACTTATGTGTAGGAGTCAGCGTGTGATCACAGAAGAATCGACTTATAAAAGGGTGGGATGTTTTATGACCAGAATCCTTGTACTGATTTCTTAAGTCTCCTCTGATGCAACCACACAAATCAGATACATGCACACATCTGCTCTAAATGTACAAACATGGATCCTGCACGTCTTTGTTTTTCTTTCTCTGGCTCTCTTATGAAATCTAAAGAACAATAACCTCTTTTAGGGAGCGCGGCTCTGATATATAAACACACACACAAAAGGTTTATTTTACCTCACAGAGTGTGGAGTTTTTCTGCCCAAAGGTAAACAGACCTTTCCCCACAAAATCTCCCCCAGTGTTTCGCAGGTCAGGGAGGTGGTCTGCTTTACTGTAAATCTGCCCACACCAGTTTGTAGGGAAGCAGCCATGATGATAAAAACATGGAGGGAGAGTTTTGTTTTCACTGCCTTTGTTTGTTATCGTAGACTAAAGACACAGTGGCACGCTGGTGTGGATGTACAGAATAATTGAGGTTTGGTTTCACTATGTTTTTAATAAATTGCAGCAGTGTTTGTGCCTGATTTAATGTAGACAACAGGTAGGTTTGAGGTAAAAGTCCAGAGCTCTGCCCCCATTGTGCAGTACCGCAGTGTAGGTGCTGAGAAAAATATCACATCCATTTAGCACTTAGTCTCCACCTAGACCCCTCCACCCTCTCCCTGTTTCCACACACAAACACTTAAACAAGGACATGTCCTCCTCAGGGCTGGGATTCTTTACAGCTGGACTGGTTATATTTAGTTATCTTCAGTTTATCTGGTGGTTAGTATCTGAGTAATTGATTTTTCATGTTGTCTGTAAAAAGGCTGAACATTTTAATACAAGCACTTTTCATCTTCCCTGGCTGACCAAAAATCTAAAATCCAAAGATATTCAATTAACTGTTAATTATACTATTCCATGTACTACAATATATGCACGTCTCCACTTCCTCCCTCTGTCCATGAATGAAGCCAAAATATCCCGGATATAAACACCGTGATCTTGTGCATTTGGAGCCAGAGTCTGTACAGTAGATAGATGGAGCCACGGTAGCAAGGTCCCGCCGATGCGCACGCTTGACCAATGATGACATTTTACTGCATTTTTTACAGCATCAAATTAAAACCAAACTTTAAATGAGCTCTTGGAAAAAACATCACTGTGTTTAGAATGACCTAAAACAGCAGAAACCACCTTTGAGAACATTTGAACTGAAGAGGTAGCATTCATGGCCTACAGAGCAGCCAACTGAGACGCTTCACTTTTAGGGAGCTGTCGTGATTGAATGGTTTTGGTACATTCATGGGCCCCACAGGATGAACTTGAGTTATAGTAATGAATCTCTTCTTATCTAGTGCCATCATCAGGCCGACATTTGAGTATCTTCAATTTATAGTTTATGACCAAAACCCCGAAACTAACACATTTCCCATCAGCCTCAGATCCACTCAAGCTATTGAACACACACTGAGTGCGTTTATCACCTCGGTTCACCTGTTGCTGTATGTGAGTGAAACAGCTTGAAGGTGGTTTGTGGCCGCTCATATTCAAAGTGTGTGCAGACATGGAGCTTTAAGGTGCTTTGGATACATGTCCACCAAATGGGCTCCATATATTTTAAAAAGTAATGAATGAAAGTAAGATGTTTAGGTAAGACCACACTCAGTCTAATGCATCCTGTCTGCTTCAGCCACTCTGCCCCTGTGATGAAGCACTTGGTGGGTGATCAGAGTGAGCTCTAATGGAGAATCTATGGAGGAGACTCAGAAAGAGAGTAAACAGAGCTTTACTCTGTGTTTAAACTCCGTCTCTGTGCAGACATCAGGACTGATAACACACACACACACAAAATGAATGACCCTGACCCTGGAGCTTGCCTGCCCTCGCTGGTCAAATAAACCTGCACGCGTGTTGAAAAAATGCACATACACATACAGCTGTGTGCTCTCTGCCAGTGCAGCTGATAAAGAAGAGTGATACGAGTCGGGTGTGTTTGTGTGAAAGGAGCTCACAGAGGTCAGACACTGATGGCACTCGGAACGTTACCACATTCCTTCATTTCAACATCTCTGTGTTTCTCCAAGTGAGACGTGTTGGTCTCCGTCACTGAAATGGAGATACTGGCAACATGCTGGGGCTACTCTGTTGAATTTATCCTTATAATTTGCAGCTCCCTACCCTTGAACAAGGCACTCAACCTCCAAACACATCCAGAGCAGCTGCTCAGTTGCCCTCCGATGAATAAATAAAGGTTTTTTAAAAAGAGAATGGAGCGTGCTGCACGCGAGTAATGAGGAAATGGAGGTCAGGAAGGTTGAAACGAGAGATAGAGGTATGTGAGTGGCTTCGTGAGGTAATGTGCAGACAGATTCAGAGTTCCTCGTGTCAGGCCGCATGAGGAGAGCCAGGTTAACGGCTGGGGGATGAGGGGAGCGAGTCAGAGTCTGCTGCTCTGTAAATACTTCATATGGTGAAAGAGCACATGAGGTCAAATGACACATCAGCAGCCTCGGCTTCCTCTGCGACCTCCAGATCTTTGGCCTCCTATTGTGCTTATCGTGAAATCAAATCTATTTCAATCTATTTTTATCTGTTTCAGTGACTTTCTGTACACTTGAGCTCAGTATGGCCTTCAGTCCAAATCCAGTTTAACCCTAACCCATTATTTTCTTTTTTTAAGTAATGGCTTTCTTAGTGGTTAATAAGTCATATGATAATGCTTTATAGATGCTGCTAGTCATTCTATTGGCCTTTATACATGCTGTTCGTCTATTAAGAAATGTGTTATAAGGTGTGTGTAATGGATGTTGGTGCAGATAGTTTGGAGCTCTTCTCTAGAAGGTCAAACAACAATAGCATCCAGTAGAACGCATACCCCCTGCCAAGGCCCATCAGTCTTGAATTCAATCAAGCTGCAAAAAAAAAAACATACTTCTGAGAAAAAAGTCAGAACTCACTTTTTTTTCCACAGTGGCCCTAATCCTCTTCCGTAAATACTTGATAAGTTGTTAATAAATAATTTTTTCTCCTGCAGTTCTTCGGTAAGTGATCACATGGTTTAATTTGTTTTAAGAATATTTAATACCCTGTCACAAAATTCTATTTTGATGGTTTTTAACTCATTTATAAAGCTGAAACTAATAATTGTATTACTGAAAAATATATAATGCTTTGTTATGAAGCTACTTTTTAGCAGGTTGGATGTTCTTTTTATTCCCCATCATCAAAGGGTGTGGGTGTGTGTGTGTGTGTGTGTGTGTGTGTGTGTGTGTGTGTGTGTGAGTGTGTGTGAGTGTGAGTGAGTGTGAGAGTGAGGGGCGGTGGTTTGGGGGCTGTGTAAGATAGTGTGTGTTTCGGTATTTTCTCGAAATGCGTTACATTGCTCGGGCTGTGCGGGGGAATGTGACGAGTCAGTAACATGCTTTCAGTTCCGACTGTTTTCTCACGGGAAAACTGCCTGAGAACCAAACGGGCAGTTTAGAGCACATGTGTGACTTTGTGTTATGTCAGGGGGCTTTCCTTCTCCAGAGAGAGAGGGAGAGAGAGGTCGGGGATGTGGAAACATACTGAATGATATAGAAAATAGATCAAGTCAGCCTTAAATCCTTATTTATCCAATAAATAAACCTATATGATTTCACTGTGTTTAAGAAAAGAGAATTGACTGTTTGACAATGTTAGAGCTGCAGAAGTCACAGGATGCTGCTCCTCCAGAGCTGCATACTGCTTTCATTTACACTGCCATAATATGATCCATGTGTTTATGAAGCCAGGAGGCACACACACACACACACACACACACACGGTTTCACTCTGGTATGGTGAGGAACCTCTCCAGTATTAGTTGCTGACAGGCTGAATAGAATAGAAATGATTTTGTTTGCTGACAGACTCACATTCGGGATTCTGTTCTTTTCAGATATAAAAACTTTTGTTTAACAGAATAAACAAAAAAAGATGGGCATTTATGTTCATATTTTACATTGGGTAAATTGGTCTAAATTGTGTTTTCTCTTTATCATAAGGTATGTGCCTAAGCTGTAAAATCTTAAACCTGAACTACATTTCTTTGTCATAAGAGTTTTATATCGATATCTTAGGAATCAATGCAATTGCAGTCTACATACTGCAGTCTACATATATATATATCTGCAGGTATATTGTATCTGAAATGTTTTACTCCATTATATTTGTATCAGCCTCCAAAAATCAATCTCTGTTAGGCTGTAGCTCTTATTTGTATTCAGCTCAACTGCTGTGTTATGCAGTTGTTATTAATCTGTGATGAGTCACGTGCCACTAAATCCAACTCTACTGCTGGATTTCAAACTGTTTTCCCAAACTTTTTATTACATCAGTATCATAATATTTTTGTTAGAAAGGGTTGTCAAACGTTATTGCACTTATGAGTCTGAGAAAAATTATATCTGGACGATAAACAATAAGAAGGCTACACAGCTTTTGTGAAAAAAATTGTGTGTGACAGTGCCCTTGAATGCAACCGTCATTGCACATGTCACAAGTACAAAGCAACGAAATGCAGTAAGCTACTAATAAGATTCATTGTCTGCGGTCGTTGACAGTCTCTTTGTCAGTTGTTTGGTCAATTACATGTAATTAGTAGAATATTGTCTTCAATGTTCTTGTGCCTGACACACTTTTCCCAAACTTTTCATGGAATTAGCATCACGACAGTTTTACAAATTTCTGTTAAACATTTTATGTCAGTATTGATTGAGCCTCACACCATTAGTAGACTGTATTTACTCATTCTACCCTCATCACTAGCTGTGGTCAGCTCCATGTCAGTCCAATCTGTATTAGAGTTGGATGGTGTTCTTAATGTTAACTAGAGATGTGGAGGACTCTCCTCTCTCTCCCTCTCTCTCGGGGGAGTGTGTGGGAGGGGTTTGGAGCGAGCACTCGCGTGTCACTCAGGCGCAGTCAGCTGCTGGCACGCGCCCCTGGTGACGCTCAGCGTTACGCACACAGGAGAAGTTTTTTTGCACAGTCTGTGTTGTCCTGCTGCGCGCGCACACCTCTGCTTTTTGGACTAGTGTTTAGTCAAAATGTTTTCGGGACTCGGACTCTCACACTTCGCCTCGCCTGAACCCGCCATGTAGCCTGGACGCACGCTGGACGCACGGGACTCTGGGGAGGATACAACTGTTCGACTGGATCGTTTTGCGGTCCTGGAGCCGCAGAGCGCACGGCTAGTCCCATCTGGTTTGGCTGGTCTGGGTTCGGTTTGGTGTGCGGGATCCAGGCGACCGCCCGGGCACCGACTGGCGGGACCATGCTCCGGCCGTGGGCTGCGCACTGGATCGCGGCCGTGCTCCTGCTGTGTCGGGCCGTGGCACAGTACTCCAGCGACCAGTGCAGCTGGAAAGGAAGGTGAGGATGATGGAACTGAACAAAGGACTTTAGATCAATCTCAGTTTAGAAGGTGGAGATCGGATCAATCCATTACAAAGTGATACTGGTAGATAGGCCAAAAGACATGTATTATCCAAGGAGTAAATATTTACTGGGAGAGGGTGATTGTAGTTCTTTTGTCCATCAGACTGAATTTCGATGCTGAGATGAAGTAGAGGCACGAGAGTTTAATTAGTACATTCAGATTTGATGTTATTGTCAGGAAGAGCTCTGCAGGGTCAGTGAAATAACTGGTTATATTGGCAGCAGATGGAAATGAAGGATGTTTTGTTCTAACCTGTGGTGACACCTCAGTCATGTTTTGCTTTCATATCTCCTTGATCCATGTTTTTGTGATTTTTCACATCTCATCTCAGAAAGTAAAACGACTCCAAAAAAAAAAATCATGGACCAGACAGGCGCCTTCATTTGACTTTGAGAGACTGTGTTGGTTTAGTGCCACAACTGAAATGTGCTTTGAGAAATGTACTGATAACAGGAATGTCTCTGCTCCACTTCCTATCTTAATTAAACACAGCCATATGGCGTCTTTGATCACTCCTCAAAGCCATAAACAATAAAAACCTGTACTTCGCTCTCAGTGTCGTAAAGTTTACCAACCTCACACTTCTATCCACTTTATAGCCCAGTCACCTCATGGTGCTGAGGAAGCTGAATGCACGTCAGACAGGAGACCACCTCAGTCCAACCTGAAAGATCAGATTTTAGATTGTTGTACAGTCTCATAAAGGAACCTCTTTGTGTTTCTTTCATGTTTTCTGCCATGTAGTTGAAGCACATTTCATTCTCTTCATTTGATTTCATCTGAATATACTGTATGTGTAAACACGGTAATAATGAGATGTTCTGCCTTCTCACCTGTAGTGGTTTGAGCCACGAGTCCCATCGCAGAGATGTGGAGCAGATCTACCTTCGCTGCTCTCAGGGGTCTCTGGAGTGGCTCTACCCCATCGGTGCCATTATTGTCAACCTGCGGCCAAACACTGACTCCTCGTTGGGACATGTGGCGGGTCTCAATGTGTGCATCAAACCCCAGACTTACTCCCAGGTAAAGTGCGACAGTAGTTTTCATGACTCACAATAGAGACCAGAGTTCCTGTTTGTTTATACTGAACATTATATCTTCTTGTTTCAGGGCTCTCATATGTACGTGGAGCGTGCCGGAGATCTCAGGCTGCTGATGGTCGAGGGCAACCAGGCTCAGAGCACAGTGCACTGTTTCAACCTGGCAGAGGGAGCTCTCTTTGTGGAAGCCATCCCACAGAGCGACATCAGCCGAAGGATCACAGCCTTCCAGTATGAGCTGGTGCCCAGTCAGGGGCCTGGGGCTCACATGTATCCATTCCTGCAACCGGGTTTAGGTAAGTGTGCACACATAATTATTTCTTAAGCTGGTATTCCTGTAGTACAAAAGGAGGGTTCGTATAGAGCCTGATTGTTATAATAGCTGGCTGATAAAAAAACATTCGATATGACATTTATGTATCAGCCTTTATGTTTGCCATTATGCACCAATATGTAAACTTGTATTCTACTTTTATTTTCAGAAAAGATGTGCATTTATGTTTACATGTTACATTTAAAAACCATGTTTATTTTCTTAATTCAAGTTCTATATATTCGGTTGTATTTGTCGGTCAGGCTCTAGTTCTCATTTGTGTTTAGCTCATGTGTTTTGCAGTCGGCATTAATCTGTGATGAGTCATGTGCCACCAAATCCAACTCTACTGCTGGATTTCAGACTATTTTCCCAAACTTTACATCAACGTAATGTTCCTGTTGTGAAAAGGGGCTGTTGAACTTTTTTCATTGTCGGTGCCGTAAAGTAACTTTGAGTTTTCGGAAGAGTTGGCTTTATAACTTTATTCCTTTTATAATGAGACAGAGAAAAATCTATCTAGAAGGTAAACAATAAGAAGCCTACACAGGTTTTGTGAAGAGCAGAAAATAAAATTGCGTTAAAATATATATTTTAAATACATTTCCTGCTTGCGCCATTATCATCCGCTGAGGATAGATGGTAACATTGAAGCATTGCATTGAAATAGAGCTAAATATGCGCTGTGATCATTTAAATGTCTTGTAAGCTTCAGGTCCTTTTGTCGTTGACCTTCTCTCTGTCAGTTGTTTTGTAAATGATATGTAATTTGTAGATAATTGTCTTAAATGTTCTTGTGCCTGACACAGTTCTCTGACATTAAGTGAACATGACAGACCAGCTTGAAGGAAAAAAAGCTTTTGTTTGCGACAGGCCACATTAACGTTTCACCCTTGTTTCTTCATCTCACCTACGTGCTGCCCTTCTCCGACACTCTGTCCTCCCCCACTTCCTCACTCCCACACGCCCTTGTCTCTGCCAGTCTTATGAAAACAAGCAGGCCAATCAAAAGGTCTTGTTAGGGTCAGGCACAGGGGTCAGCCAATCCCCTCTCAGCTGTCAATCAAGAACAGATCCCTGCTAAAATAGGGCAAATTTTGTAAAGCCCACCCGTATGAGTAAAGCGGAGGGGAGGGACGATGGGTGGAGAGGAAGGCTGGACTGCATTCCTGTAATAAGACAGAGAAAAGCCTGTGTGTGTGTGTGTGTGTCTAGGTGTTTTATAGCTGTTTTGATAGCTGACAGGGTCAAAGGTTAATTCTCTGATTAGGTCTCGTCCCTCACCTGCTGTTCTCCTTCACATACTCTCCATTTCTTTTGATGTCTCACAAACAGCCACACCACAGAGAGACAGGAAACATGGTGATGCTGAAACATATAATAAGATAAGACAAGAGCTAACAAGGAAAGACAATGGATCATGGAAATAAAAAGTTTTGTTCATAGTAAAATTACATAAAATTATTCAAAATGAGTGTTTTACTTGATCTTCTTCTGTGTGTTTTCCATTTCAGTTAACTGTAAACCCTGTTCGGATGAAGAGCTCCTCATGGCTGTTTGTACCAGCGACTTTGGTAAATACACAAAGAGTCACAGCAATACATAAAAAATCAGTTTGACTGTTTTGGGAACCATAGAGTATGAACCAGGTCTGAACCTGTCAGTCCCAAAAGTCAAGCCAAAGCTTCTTGATTGCCACCCAGTGGTTGGCTGCGGTATATTTCATAAAACCTGCCTCCTCCATGTTGGTGGAGGCAGGGTTTTCAAATATGGTTTCTCACATTTTAGGTAGTCCTCATCACAAAAATGTATGTTCCAGTGTTTAATTTCCTAGTAAGTTTCGTTTCAGTTAGATATTTAATGCTGTAAAACATCATGATTGACAGTTGAGACATCACCAGCACGAGATGGCAGCACCCATGTCTTTGGAGAAATGGAGATGCGTAATTTATTTTTTATTTATAGTCTATGGTCTTTACAGGTGACATGAAGCTAACACCAGCAGCCGGTTAGCTTAGCACAAAGGCTGGAAATGACATCTAAAAAAATCTAGATGGAACACATGTTATCTTGCTCATCTACTTACTTTTTGATCAAACGTTTTAAAGAGAAATATTGTTATATATAGTTATATGTAGTTATTTGTTCTTGCTTTAATTCATGTTAATATTAGCTAAATTTTATTTATTGATTTAATCATATATCTTTTTCTCTCCTGTTCCCGTCTCTGTAGCTGGAAGTGGCTTCTTTCGAGGTATGGCATCAGGTTCCACCGACCACTCCTCTGTTGTGGTGACCATGAGCCGGGTGTTTCGTCAGAAGAGCAGGGTGTTCGTTTGGGGCGGAGCCAGAGGGCGAAGCTGGGGCGGGCGTGTCAATGTCCCCTCACAGTGCGGTTTGCATCCTGGAGGAGATGAGTACCTTTTGACTGGATTTGTCCATTTCGGAAATGCCTGGCTTGGCTGTGCACCTCGCTACAAGGATTTCCGGGAGCTTTATATCAGAGCACAGACAGCCGGAACAAACCCATGTCAAATAGACATAGACTGAGGATGGGTTGAAGTTCTGGAGGACGGAGCAACATTTAGTTTGAGACATTCATAGAGACGAACAGGGAGAAAAGCCCTACGCTTAAGGCTTACTTTTGCCTTGCAGCAGAAAGGACACTATGAACAGTTTTGCGCTGCCCATTTGTGTGTGTGTGTGTGTGTGTGTGTGTGTGTGTGTGTGCGTGCGTGCATGAGTGAGTGCGTGCATGAGTGAGTGAGACAGAGTTAATCGAGATGAGCTTAAATTAAATTTATGCCGAACTGCTTGATTTATTAATTCTCATGACGATACCGCTTGTGTGATCATTCTTGAAATGTAAGTTTGCTTTGTAAAAAGCTTTCTGTAAAATTTAGGAGTCTTCTGACAGAAGTGTACATTATGCAGCTCTGTGAGTCTTTATGTACCAAGTTTGTGTGTGTGTATGTGTTTTGCTATTGAAGTTGAAAGGGTCTTTATATTTACAGAAAATAAACCACAGTCCTTCAGCTCGCTTTTCTGTTTGGTTTTCCTTTAAATCATTCATTCATATCAGCTCCCTGTCTGTTTGTGATCATACCATGTGAAGTGTATGTCCGGATATAAAAACTCTCCATCATATTTCATTAACAAGCGTGTGTCACATTCTCTGTGTGGCTCACAGAGGCTAAGTGTGTTTGGGGTGCAAAAAAAATAAAAGGAGCTGGCAAGTGAAGTTAGTCATAGGACCAAAGATTATTAGCTTTTATGTTGACGTACGTGGAGCCAAACAAAGAGATATTATGCACCTAACTGCTCGAAAGAAAAAAAACATGAGTGTTCAGTGACCATTCGCTGGCAGGAGAGCATCAGTGCGTCAGTGATTGCGTCGCTGCCCCTGTGGAGCTTTGACAAGCCTCTGTTCTCTTTGGCATTCTCCTTCCCTGTGTGTGTGTGTGCGTGCGTGCGTGCGTGCGTGCGTGCGTGCGTGCGTGCGTGCGTGCGTGCGTGCGTGCGTGCGTGCATTCAACGCTGAGCAATTTTATTTCCATTCACAGTCCCAATCTTGCGCATTTGGAGCCACAGTCTGTGCAGTAGGAATCAGGGGCATACAGCCTTGCGATACACATCCTTGACCAATCATGAGTCACAACTGTTAATCATGATGTTTCACCCTGTATAATATCAAACAATGAACTACTGTACCAAATGTCTCAACTAGTGATTTACCATAATTTCCAAAACAGTAAGTTACTGTAAATTTATGCATCATTTACTTTACCAACAATGTCATGTGGATTGAGGGAATTTACTGTAAAGATGTTCTATTATATTTTTACTGTGTAATTTGTGGTATTTTAATATAGAAAGTGTGCATACAAACAACGATTAAATCAAATTTTATTTTCATAGCCCAAATCACAATTTGCCTTTGACCCTCCACTAGAGTGAGAAAAAACTAAAAAAAAACTTTTAACCGGGCCAAGATCCAACAATCCCCTTATCATTTTAATTCACAATATCCGGATTATTTCACAAAGTGAAAAAACATACCTGGATCTGCCCCCTGATCTGGATCAGCACCAAAATTAATGGGTTCTTTCCCTACCCTAACTACATCCTTCCACCAGGTTTAATAATAATCCATCCAGTAGTTTTTTGTGTAATCCCAGATTACAGATGCAGATGAAAACATTAGCTCTTTGGAGGAGCTAACAAGAAGGACACTCAGAGAGCCAAGGTTGATTGGCCCCTTATCATCAAATTGCATGTACATGTATTGAGATCACAAACTGCATATTATACCATGTGCAAAGAAGTTTTCTGCAAACTGATCACATAAAACACAGGCAAAAATCCATTCTTTTTGTTTTTATCCATGTCTCATCCACTAACATGGAGGAGATGGAATTTATAACCCATACTGCAGCCATCCACCAGGTGGCGATTGAGTTGTTCTAGCTAAACTTTTGGGATGCTGTCATGTCGTCTTAATATTCAGACTCTGGTCTAAACAGACAACTTTACAAGTTGAAGGTACAGGCCATACGTTGTATCCTCAGTGTAGGAGTTTTAGCCAGAAAATAAAAAGCTCCTTTCACATGGATGGTTGAGACTGTTTGGTGGGTGGAGAGCCGAAAGAACAGGCGGATGTGTGAATAACCTTAGAGGGGTGTATGCGCACCTCTCCCTCCTCCTGCCATCAGGCAGTCGTGTGTGCGCGATGCTTTCCCTCTTCCTCAGGAAGAACAAGAATGGAAGGAATGTCCCCTCCCACACACACACACACACACTTGTACACACACACCTCCCTCTGCAGAGACAAACCTTGTGTGCTGTGTTACATATTGATATCACTCATCCTTTACTACTGTGCAGCATCATACAGTGAATTTTGAGCATGAAGTAATTTTTTTGTCTCATGTCTGGAGCACATAAAGTGAAAGGTTTACACAGCATGGCTGCAAACAAACCATCAAGCACTTTGGAACACTTTCAGGGACCCTCAAGCTATTTACTACTGCACTCCCATAAATCTTGAGGTACTCACAAGTGATAGATTTAAAGAAGAATGGTCAGAGGTGAAGCAGTAGAGCCTGTGATGTTCTGACATTTAGACCCATGAACCAAACGACAGAATTCTTCACTTCCCATGATGCAGATAAATTCTGTGTTTCTCAGTGCACCCTGCATCTTTCAAAACTCATACCTCTAGTTTGTAACACTGGCTTTAGAGTTTGCAAAGCTATAGCACTTCATTTGTTAATGTAAATGTTTCCGCATGCTAAAAAGCTCATGAATATACAGCCAGTATACATATGACTGAGTAGAGAAGAGAGTGACATGTAGAGGGAAACGTTAACACGTAGCTCGAGGCTTAAGACAGACTGTAAGACATGACAGGGCCACCTATATATAACTGCACCCTCCTTCCCTTTATTTACTAAGGACTGAATGTGTGTGTGTTTGTCTTGGGTTGCAGTTTGAGACGCCCCCAGCACACGCTCCCGGCACACTGCTTATATGAAATCAGACCACACTGCAGAAACCCAGCCCGCTCACAGCAACACCCAACATCCCCCTGGTAACCCACGCTGGCAACAGCCCAGCTCGCCTTGGCATCCTCGCTAATTCGGGACACACTTATCCCTGTGCACAGGGGTCTTAATGTCAACCTTTCAGTGTGAGAGTGGGTGAGATATGGAAAGCGTTTGTGCTGCAGTATGCGACAGGCACAGCTGAGCGGTCAGCTGGAGTCGAGGGAATGGCTGAGCTCAGGGGAAAAAAACACACAGGCATGCTTTCACCCATATATACCACCACTGGCATTTTATAATGCAGTGGTTAGGGTGGGGTCAGTAGTTTTTTTAATGGTGGCACAATGTCTGTTTTTACATGGGATATAGTATATATATATACATTAAATCTACTCTCTATATGGAGGTTTATGCCCAGGTATACTAACATTCAACAAATTACATTATACATATATGCACACACGCTTATACAGTCTATATTTTTAACCCCTTAAATGAAAATTAGAATTGTATCTGCTCTATATCATAAATTTATGACAAGCAAACATTTGACTAAATATGAAGTTTACACAAATCAACTTGTGAGCTAACTTGAGCGATGGTAGCAGTATGAATGTCACACTTAGCTTAGTTACTGATATTCATTCACTTTTCTCTGTACATGTGTATGAGAAACATAGAGCCAGCATGGAGCCAGCAGGCAGTATGTTTTGAAAAGAAACAGGGTAAAACAGCCAATCAAAAAAATGTGGCACTAGAAACTGAATTTGAAACATTTCTATCTTAAAATCTTAATTTGAATTAAATATAAAAGCTCTGTGTATGTTTTCTACACTGAGGCAATTTAAATAGGAAGCAAAGTTATTTTAATATGAAGGAAATGGTCTGGGAAAAACTAGTATGAAGTATTGTAAATTCCAATCTGGTTCAATACAAATTTCTCTCCACCAACCTGAGCAGGGCGTGCCGAGCTTGGCTTGCAACCAAAATAATACAGATATTTATCACTGTCTCATGGCTTCTTGTGCCGCACGTCGTTTCCTAAGTTCATGTTTTACTGAATGGTTAGTCATCAGTCTGTCTAACTCAAACTCTAACTCGTAAAAAGTCAACACTAAAGCTGTCTTCAGACATGAACACAGGATAATGTCCAAAAAAAGACACTGCCACCGGCCCTTATTACCAAAAGCTCTTGAATCTCCTTGTCTTTGTCGGCATTCTCTATGGCTCCTCTTTTTCAACATCAGATGTTGTATTCTTTATGTTCAATGATTTTTGTTTGTACATCAGCTGTAGTGTTACATGGACTCACTCAGACATTTTGGGGTTGGCGGGAAAAGTTACAGAAAATGTGTTGTCAGGAGCAATTGCCTCAGATATCTGCATTCTCACAGCCTTCAGTGCATGTCTGAAAGCTGCTGAACAGGAAGCTTCATCTGACCTGAAGTGTTAAAAAAAAGTTATTGTTTGTTAAGTGCTGGTGGTTTTAGCCACAGCCCCACACACAGTATGCCTTACTCTGGCACACAGCCTTTATTTGTAACTCTGCTTTGGAGACTTTCACTGTCTGAAAAGCTTCCATTTTTAATGTGTCTCATCATTAAACCATCAGATCACCAACAGATAAACCCTTCCTTTTACATTGTTGTAATTATACTTTAATAATTGAAGTACAGAGGCTCACTTGTTGAAGTATAATTCAGCTTCATTTGTTCACATCTTCACTTGCTTGGCAGTAGCCTCCTGAAGTGACATTTTTCAATGTACATGTACAAATGCAGATGAGTTGTACTTCATTCAGGGACCAGATGGTGAGTTTTTTTTCTTCGTATTTTACTGACATAAGACAAACCTCATCCTCCTTTTACAAATTAAGATCAGAAAATAAATACAACAATTTATTCCGTCCAAATCTTTTCCCAAGACACAACATATATTCGTCAAAACAGATACAACTGTGTGACACATTCAAGTTGATAAAACATGGGTGGTCTGAATATAGGAGTTTGAGGGTTTGCACTCCCTGATGTTACATCCTGTGGGTTTGACGTGTTCTTTAACACACACTGTTGCGACACCTTCTGTTTCTGTCACTTAACGTGAAGATGTGGAGCCTGCTGTTCATCCTCTGCAGTAAGTTCTTCAATTTAATTAAGTCAATACATCTGTTTAATTAGCCTTCTCCAGAATGTGTCACCTTCATATTGGTCTTGGTCATTTCATTGTAACCCTGCAACACTAGTTGCATTTAGTTTAGTTCAGTTAAGTTTTTTTTTTATTAGTTTTTTTTTGGTAAAATAAAAAGCATTTGTTGACTATCACAAAATAGATATCATGAACATGGTTAGTAACAAAAAACTTGACATAAACATTCAGGAACATACATGTACTGTTTCATTTTCAATCTGAAAAGGAGCATTTGCATTTTTGTTGACTTTCCATAAAAAGAATAAAGACGACCATCATTTGACATTTCATGTTGTCTT